CTGCATCCACCTCTCCTCTCCCCTCTCATTCCTCCTCGTCGTCCTCCGCGTCTGGTTTTTCCTGGCCGCTGGAGCCGGAGCAGGCGGTTTTATTCTCTTTTTTCCACTTCATGCGCCTGTTCTGGAACCAGATTTTGATCTGTCTCTCGGTGAGACACAGCGCGTGGGCGATCTCGATGCGTCTCCTCCTGGTCAGGTAGCGGTTGTAGTGGAACTCCTTCTCCAGCTCCAGGGTCTGGTACCTGGTGTAGGTCTGGCGGCCGCGTTTTCTGTCGGTGCCTGGGAAATAAAAGGCAGATTCGGGTCAGCCGGGGGGTTGGGGGGATGATTTTGGGGCCGCTGGTTCCATTCGATCTCTCGCTTTTGTCTCTGGGTGCAGCCTGGCACCCACCCTGCAGTCCCACGACCTGGGCCAGCCCTTCTTTTTTATTGGAGATATCAACTCCTGCCGCTCGAGGCTTTCCCAACTCACCTTCTGTGCTCTCAGCCCCCCAAACCACCCCAGCTTTAACTTCCTTTCCTCCTGGGAAAGCGGGCATTGCTTTTTTTCTACGTGTGCCTGTGGGTGTCTCCGAGAGAACAACAAAGTTCAGAAAGTTTCCTGCCCTCCTATCCCCGGTCAGACTCTGAGTTCCTGCTTTAATTTTAGTTTAGGCACCAGAAAATCGGGGTGGTTGGTGAATAAATAGAGAAATACAGTGGAGCAGAGCAACAGAGACATCTGCTACCTACAGCAATCCAACTATTTGTCCTCTCTTAAAGCTGTCATCAGGATGCCTGCTTGGAAGGTGTGTGATGGTCTTAATCATTTCAGGGGATGTTTTGGGCCCAGGGGTGACTTCTGGGGCTCTCAGAGAGACTTCTCCCCCCCAGGTTGCCCTTTTTGGGGGGTGTCCAGACGAGAAGTGACTCAACACTCACCCCAGGCCCCCCAGCACCCTCCAGCCTCCTGCGAGCGGGGTTTGGAAAGGACCCAGCTCCTGATTCTCCCCTCCACCCGACATTTCCTGCAGTCTGATTGGAAATTATTCTACAATATGGTGTTTGTGATCCTGGCTCTGTGTTCCGTGTAAATGTTGTGTATGTCTGCAGTAGAACACGTTCTTTTCCCAGGGCAGTGGGGATGGTGAGCAACCCTCGGCCTCTCCTCCACACATTCCACCGGACTCCTTCTTCTCCCCTCTTTCCCCCCCACCCCAGCCCTCTTTCTTTTTAAAAGAAGAAAAGATCCAGTCATTAAAAGGAGAGGGGAGAAAAAAAAAAGGCAAAATAGCCAGGCTAGCTGTAAAGTAAAAATGTGCAGGTCGTGGAATGCGGGTTGTAAAATCCGCTGAGGGAAGAGCCATAAACTGCTGCTGAATAGGGATGACAACTCTATCTCTGCTCGCTGATGAAATTCCACAAGCGGGATCGCACAGTGGGCATGGAGGAGCCCTGGGAAAGGGGGGGTGGGAGGGGGGACCCCGCTTTTACGACCCAGGTCGAGTTTTTCTGGTTTTAGGCTCAGCAGATCCCGGAGCATCCAGGGCTTTTCCGAGCATTCGCCCCCGTTTCCAAACCGTCTCCAGGGTTGATCCTCGCAGAGTCACGGGCTAAAAGAGGGGTGAGCAAGAGGGGGGGGGGTTTCCTTAAATCTAAAGTCAGATAAAAGCAGAGGTGAAGTGTTTACGAGCAGAAATATTTGGTCTTTGATAAATCAACTGTAAAAGTGGATGAATTATGGAGCAGGTAATGGAAAGAACTGACCACCAAATAAGTGTGAGGGTAACTCCTGCCTTTAGAAGCAGCTCCACATTGGCTGCTCGGCTGTTTTCTTTCGCCTCTGCCTCGCAGGGAGGTTGGCCCGCACCCCTAAGAGGGCCTTTCCCGAATTTTTTTTGGCGGTGGAGAGCGTCTCGCTCGCAGGGGACGATGCTCTCAAGTCGCAATCCGGCGGCTGGAAAATGAGCTCACGCCTTCTCCCCCCTCTCCCAGCAGGGACAGCATCGCCTTTCCCCCCCTTCTGAGGATCACACGAGTGCAAACAGCACCACGCGTGTGCTGGGACACGGCCCGGGCTGCTCCCAGGGGGGGAAACGTGTCCCGGAGCTCCGGCCCAGAGCAGGAGGGCCCGGGGGGAGCCGGGACGCCCCGGGCCCGCTCCCGGCGAGGGAAATGGATATTTATTGAATGTTAATTGACATTAATACCCTCAGACGGAGCGCACCGGTGACTGAAGGCGGAGGGTTTGAGAGACCCGTGTGCGGGGGCAGCGTGACCCGGCGTGGGTCACCCGGCCCCCCCAGCAGGGCCACGCCGAGTACCCCAAGGTCCCCAAAAGTGCCCTCCCCAACGCGTGATGTTTTGGGGACACAGTTAAACGTGCCTCCCCCCCACCCCCCTTATCCCTCCATCCCTCCATCCCTCCCTCCATCCATCCGGATTCCGGCCGGAGCGTCCCCGAGCGGGGAGCGGAGCTTTGGACCGAGGAGGGGCCGATGTGCTGCTGGTTCTGGGGGCTGCGCTCAGTCCCCGTGTTTGGGACGCTCTGAGGGGCCGGCAAAAGAAGGTTCCGCCATCTAACAGAAAACAAACCGAGCCTGCAAGCGCTTCCCATAAACAGCTTCCTCCAGAACCCGCGTCTCTGCCTCCACGGGGGCAGCGCAACCTCCAGCCTGTAAATACAGGAGGAGAAGGGGCTGGCCATTATTTCTGTCCCCTCCGAGACAAACTGCCTTTTGCGCGGCACATCCACGGCCCCGGCAACACCAATAAATATTTAAAGCTAAAAGGATGGCTTTCGGGGGGGGGGGGGTGGGCGGGGGGGGGGGGGGGTGGTGTAGTCGCTTCTCTGCCTCTCTCTTTTGAAGATGCGTTTTCAGTGAGACGTCATGAAAGGAGTTGGGGACAATTCCCCCCTCCCCCTCCGCCACCCCCCGCGCACGCCGTGGAATAATTTACACTCCCCCCACCCCCTAACCCCCCTTCCCCGACCCCGCGCTCCTTTCCTTTCGGGAGGCCGGGGGTTACCTGTGCTCCTCATCCAGGGGTAGATGCGGAAGTTGCTGCTGTCGCTCTGCAAATCCGAGTCCCTCTGGTCCGTTTTGCTGCAGTTCTGCTTGGAGGCGTCCCCGGGGCACATCATGGAGAGGTTTTGCTCGAAGGGGGAACAGTGCATGTTGAAGGAGCCGGGCTCCAGGCCGTACCCCGAGGGGTACATGCCGGGGGGCTGGGGGTGCACGGCGCTGCCGCTGGAGTAGAGCCCGGGCATGGAGGCGGCGAAGGGAGGCGTGGATCCGGCCCCATACCCCGCTCGCTGGGGGTTGGAGGCGAAAGCGCAAGAAGTTTGCTCGGGGAAGACTCCGGACGGGAAAACCGAACTTGCGGCTTGATATTTAGAAAATAAAGCATTCGCATAATACAATGAACTCATAATTTGGCCGGGTGATTTGTAGGTCGGGACGTTTTAGTGTCGGTTTTACGAGGTACCGTGATATATTACGGAATTAGAGTCCAGATTTACACCAAAAAGGAGCCTTTTTCCTCCCGGCCCTTGTGACGCGCGGGCACGTGGCTGCTGCGGCGCCAATCGCCGCCCGCCCCCTCCTCGGGGGCACGAGACTGTGCGGCTGGATTTATAAAATATGATAAATAATTGATGCGATATAAAACCCTCCAAGATCTATGCTGGAAAGGGGTGAAATTGTGCCGGAGTCGATAAGCAACCTGTAATCAGTTTTCAGCTCAGGCCGAGGGGAGAAAGAGAGAGGGGGAAAAAAAGGGGAGGGGGGGGGTAAAAAAAAAAAGCACGTTGCTGATAAAACAGCGACTCCCTCTCGGTCTCTCTCTGCTGGAGGAAAAGGAAGGGAGCTCTATTTATCCCTTTATTGATCCCGTCTAAAATTCCCTCCTTCGCACCATTTCCTCGGCTCCGAGCTACTTTTTCAAGAGACTGTACTTAATTCCCTTCTCTCCCCCCTTGACCCTCGCTCCCCCCCCCCCCAAAAAAAAAAAAAAAAAAAAAAAAGACAAATGTCTCATTGATACCTAATAGTTTCAGGCTTCTGTTCCCCCCTCCCCAAATGCCATTCAGCTCTATATCTAATTTATTCCAGTGCCACAGGCTTTGAGCTCCGTATTGAGCTGGCATTTGCTTTTCTTGTCGCGAAAAATAAAGAGTGCACAGATCCCTTGTTTGGCGTGTCAGCGGTTCTGCGGGACTCAATTACAGTCAGAAGTCAAACCTTCCCAGCTGGCTGATTTGCTTTCTGCTGGAGAAGCAGAGAGACCTTCCAAAATGGGATCTGCCTCGGGTTTGTTGGTTGTTTTGGGGTTTTTTTTTTTTTTAAAGGGGAGGGGGATGTGCAGAAAGAAAAGGTTTCCAGGCAGGAAAAGCAGACAATGGTGGATGTGCATCTGGGGTTTGCGCCGGTTCTCCTTTCCCAAGGTTATGTGCATCCCCGCGCTCCTCTCCGGCCGAGAGGAGAAGGAGCAGAGAACGGCTCAGCTGCGCCACTGACAATGTGGGTTTTTTTTTTTTTTACGGCGAGATGAGTGGGAGGAAAGGAAAGGAAGGGAAAGGGGACCCAGAGCTGGGCTGCGTCTGGCGGGGGCAGCGGGGAGGGCCCGGAGAGACGGGGAAAGGAGGGAAGGGAAGGGGGGAAAAAAGAAGGAAAAAACCCCCAAACCCAAAGCAAACCAAGCCACGTTACCTCTTGAGGAAGGATTTCCAGCCAGCCTCCCGACCTGTCAGCAGCCGGGAACTGTTGGGAACAACAACAAGAGCAGAAGCCATGGCAGTTGCCCCGGCCCCCTCCTCCCCTTGCCCGCGGCTCGCAGGCAGCAGCTCCCCGGCCCCAAACCCTGGCTCGGGCCGGGCCCGCAGCCCCCCGGCAGCTCTCCGGGCAAAGAAGGTCTTTGATGGCCACGGCTGCGGCTCCGACACAATTGACTTTTATTTCCTTTCTATCAAAGTGGTCCTGGAGGAAACGGAGCGGGGTAAAAAGAATGATGTCACGGAATTCTCGCTTGTAAACTTTATTGTAACTTTCTTCCGCCGCTTCCAGGTTTAGACAATAGAACAAAGTGATGAAAGAACAACAAAATATATCATTAGTTCCCCCAATAAAGTAATTCACGTATACAGTATACATTCTTTTTCACAGTTAACCTAAAGATCACTTTACAACTTGCTTCACTGTGCGCATGCTAACTAAAGGAGAGAAAAACGCTTTTTTTTTTTTTTCTGGTATTTTTTTTTTTTTTTTCCTTTTTTTGGAAGAAAAATTTAAAAATTGGGGAAAAAAAAAAAAAAAAAAAAAAAAAAGAAAAAAAAAAAAAAAGACCGAACCAAGGAAAAGAAGAGCAGGGAAAGCAAAGAGAGGAAGAGAGAGAGGAAGAGAGAGATAACTAGAGCATAAATAGGCAGTTTCATGTTGTTGGGATGTTTGTTTCAGTAGCTACCTCCGGTACGTACAGATAAACCACAACCGAAAAGGTGGAAAAAGAAAAAATAAAAATAAAATTTCAAAAAAAAAAAGTGCACGAACGTAATTTCACGTAACTCCTCTAGCATTGAAAGCTACGTTAACCAACCCACCCCCCAGGAAAGAAGAGAGAGAGACAGAGAGAAAGACAGAGAGAGAGAGAGAGAAGATTTCACAGTCATGTTTTACATAAGCTATTGCGTTACACTACCACTAGTTAATAACTGGCAAAAGGCAGGAGAGAGCTCCCGACCACTTTTGCATACTGTTCATTGTATCAAAGGATAATCAGGAAAGTGGTGCTTACAGCTATATTGTTTTACAGCAATAAAAGGGTTTTTTTTTTTCCTTTCTCTTTTCTATGCATTGTTGTTGGTTTTTTTTTCCCCACCCCTCCCTTACATTAACTGCCATTAACGTGGGGCTCGGGGGCTCTGCCACCCCAGCAGCGCTTGCCTTTCAGTCCTCAAAAATCCTTTTATTTCTTGTCCGCCTTCTGTGCTTCCCCTTCCTCGTCCACCTCCTGGGCTCTTTCCATTTTCTGTTTTTCCAGTTCTTCCTGCTCGCATTTGCTGCTGGGAAACTTGTCTTTGTTGTTTTCCTTTTTCCATTTCATCCTCCTGTTCTGGAACCAGATTTTGACCTGCCTTTCTGTCAATCCCAGGGCGTGCGAGACCTCGATCCTCCGTTTGCGGGTCAGGTAGGGATTAAATAGAAATTCCTTCTCCAGTTCCAGCGTCTGGTAGCGGCTGTAGGTTTGCCTCCCCCTCCTCCGTCCAGCGGCTGCTGGGGGATTGCAAAGGTTGGGTGGGAGAGGGGAAGGAGAGAGAAGGAGGTTGAGAGATACATAAACCAGGCTCGGGAAAAGGCACACGCGGGCTCCCACCCGCTCCCACACACTCACACGCGGGGAGGGGGAAGGAAGAAAGGACTCGCAGGAGCAAAGGCAGGAAGCAGAGAGGGCGAGGGAAAGGCTCCCGGAGAATATTTTCAAAGGGAAGATGGTTATAAAGGAAAGGGGTGATGGTGGCGGAGAAAGGGAGGGGAGGGGGGGGGTCACCCACCAGCCCACCCCGAGCAGGCTGCACTTGCACACTGATTATTACCCCAAGCACCACAACAACAACAACACGCTCCGGCACTTCGGGACCCCCGCAAAAGAGAGAAAAAAAAAAACCCCAACAGACCCCGAATAAAATAAAAATAAATAAATAGCCGCGGCCCCGGGAGAACCGGCAGCACCGCCGAGATCCCAAATCAAACGCAAAACAAAAATGAAGGGGCTTTTTAAGGCTATAAAAGTGCCATAAACTTTAAGGACGCTTCCTTCCACAGAAAGCCCGGCTCGCTCAGCCCCCAGAAGAAAAGGTCTCCTTCAGGGTAATTAAACTATAAAGCAATTTACAAGTGCAAAAGTTTACCCCCATAAAGCAGTAAAATACAGTCAGCGGGGAAAGAAAAAGGCAGCGAAAAGAAAGCGAGCGACCGAGAGGGGCAAGGAAGAAAAAGCGAGAGGGCGACTTTGCGGGCTCAGGAAATGCCTCCTCGCCGTCCTTTTTCCATCTCGCCTCACCTTGCGGTCGCATCCAAGGGAAAAGCTGGGTCGGAGAAGGGCTTTGCTCGGAGCTCTCCGCCTCCTCCCCGAGGCCGCTGGCAGCGAGCTTGCAGTCCGTGTACTGCACCAAGTCCGACTCCTGGGCGCTGAAGAGGCTCTGCCTTTGCAAGGGGTCGTAGCCATAGAAGTTGCCGGGGTCCCCATGGCACGCCACGGCGCAGGGATTCTGTTGGTAAGGGGAGCTGGAGAGCGAGGACGCTCCGTGGTAGAACTCCTGGATTTGGGTGGGGTGCTGGAAGGTGCCCCCCGTGCTGGGGCCGTACACCACGGTGGGTCTGCCCCCGAGATCCTGAGCGAACCCACAGTCATAGTAGTTGGGGCGCAGGGAGTCCCCGGTTTTGTACTTGGAGAAGAGTGAGTTGACGAAATAAGAGCTCATTTTAATTTAAATAAGAAGCGGTCGGGTTTGGAGGAAGGAAGGAAGAAAAATATTTATAAAAAAAAAAAAAAAAAAGGGTTTTTTTTTAAAAAAAAAAAAAACCAAACTCGAAAAGAGAAGCCAACCAAAAGCAGACCACGGGAATCTATTAGCAAAAAAAGAAAGCGCTAAGATGCTAAGCAACGACAGTTTGTGATTTCCAGGAATATAAAAGGAGGATATAATCAAAACTCTAAGCCTGCATGATATTGAATTCTTTCCTCCCCCCCACCCCTAAAAAAAAAAAAAAAAAAAAAAAAAATCGCCACTTAAAGAGTTCTCGCTTTACATTTCCAAGAAGAGATGCCAGTTCATAAACAGTTTTCAGTGATTTACTTCAGCGCAAATGAGTTGTTTCATATTTTGCAGTGTCTTTTCATGATCATTTGCATCTATTACCAAAACCTCATCCTATTGGCTTCTCCTTACTCCACACGGACTCTGCACCGCATGATTGTGAAAGGAAGAGTGTGAGAGAATAAAGAAGGAAAAGCAAGCGAGGGGGAGCGAGAGAGGGAGAGGGAGCGAGAGAGAGAGAGAGAGAGAGAGAGAGAGAGAGAGAGAGAGGGAGTGAGAGGGGAAGGGAGAAGGAGGTGGGGTGAATATACGGATTAAATATGTTTAACTACCTACATTAATGAGATATCGCTCGCCTCACAACAAATCACGTACCTAGACCACCCAAAAGATTGATTTTTGGGGAGTGTTGGAAAATTAAAGAGAAGCGCTCGCAGTCGTTAATTTCGAAATTTTAACGAGGCAGTTTTAGCCTTTTTAAATGTCAGGGTCGCTTTGGAAAACTGTAAAAGAACACGATTTAATTGCTACCAGTTTTAAAAGGTCCTATAAATGTAATTGGTATTTTAATACAAGTTATCAAATCATACAGCTTCTTACCCTAAACATATTTTAAAACAAACGAGGTAGTCATATTTAACATTTTAATGATCAATTTCCTTATTATTGATAAAGGTTTAACTATCGCATGAAGGGAATTGCATTTGTAATAGCCCCAAAAAAGGCTGTAAACTGTTTAACAAACTATAAAACGCCATAAAGCCGGGGATGTTGTTGTTGTTTATACCGCACTACATAAAAGCCGTTAGGATTTTACGAGTTCGTTCCTCCACCGCCATAAACCAGAGGTTTCGATTGGACCCGTCCGCGTTACGGCGAGATGTCGGGGTGTCAATATTGAATTGAAATGATTATAGTTTTTCATATATAACGTTGACTTTTTGTGGCTCTTCCCGCAGCCCCTTCCCTGCCTTCCTCCTCCTCCTCCTCCTCCTCCTCCTCCTCCTCCTCCCCCGCCGAGGACTCGCTCAAGATGCGGTTGGGGACGATCGGGAACTAAAAGTCTGGGGTCGCTTATCGCCTCCCGAGCAGAACCTCGCCCGATGGCCGCGCCCCGCTCGCCCCCTCCTCAACAACTTCCATTTCTTTCTTCATTTCGCCCCGTCCTTGCTGAGGAAAACCGGGGGGAAGGGGGAGAGAGAGAGAGAGGAGAGAGAGCAGAGAGAGGCTTTCTGTTTTATTGGCATTTGGTAACAACGGTGCAAACTTCCCCCGAAGATGCCAACGCTGCAATTTTCCACCGCCTAAACACACAGGGGGTAGATTTTCAAATTCATTTATCGCAGTCAGCAAATATTACCGAGGCGTATTTCAGTTAATAACGACTCCAAACCCTCCCCAGCCCCAGCGCTGCCCCAGCCTCTCAACCCCCAGGACGCCCCTCCAAGCCCCTCGCAATGTTCTCCAACCCCTCCACCTCCAAGACGAGTTAAAGACACTCTTTTAAACCTCTATTTTTAATTTTTTCCCCCCCCTTTTCCCCCCTTTTGCCCTTCTGCTGCTTCCCATCGCATCCCTCTGCGCGGGTTTTGCCCGGAGAAAGATGAATTAAAGGGGGTTCTGCTCCTCCCTGCCTTCAGCTGAGGGACAATTTTCGACCTCCACGACGTGGAAAAAGAGGAAAAAAAGTTGGGATGTTTCGGTCAGTCTGCCTTGCCAAGGCTTTGGGGGAGAAAAAATAAAAATCCACTAAAATCAAGAGTGGGAATAGGCAGGGAATGAAGAAAGGCAGGAAGAAAGAGAAGGAAAGAAAACAAAGATAGCAACGGAATAAAACTTTAAACCCATCCTTAGAGAAATAATTTAAGTAAATACGTTTCCTTTATTTTGTGTAGGGATAATTTCAGCCGAGTCTAAGAGCCTTTTCAAGTAATTATTGTTGTTGGGAGTACTTGCAGTGGTATAATTAAGGCTTTCTCCCCCCCCTAAAAGACAAGTTAACATTTTATTTTTCCCAACACTTTTATTGTCGATTGAGCAGATTTGGGTTTCATCTTCGCACATAAAAAGCCCCGAAATGGTGCGCAGAAGTAAATAGAGCTTTGCAGCTCTGGCGTGGGGGATGCGGGATGCTGGAATATTCAAGGGGAAAAAAAAAACCAAAAACAACAAACCAGCAACAACCCAACCAAAAACCAACAACTGGATCGACCAAAGTAATTTTAGAAAAGAAGTTTCTTCTTCCCCGTGTATTTACAGCCTCGAGCTCGTCTATTGAAGTTTGCAAAGCGAAAAATCGCAGGAATTCCCGTTGCTGCAGGAGCCGGGAAGGCGGGCAGAGAAGTTGTTCTTGGAAGTTCCCGTTTTTATCAGGCGCGGTAGAATTTGATGGTGGCGACGCGATGGGAACTCAGCAATGCCCCAGAAATCAATGGCTGATCTTAAATCATCCCCCGGACCGGACTCGGGGTCCTGATGAAAGGAAAATGTTTCTATTCCGAGGGAAAAAACCCGAGCGGGGCTGGGTGTGAGCGCGCGGGGTGCGTGTCGGCCAGAGATAATTTATAAATACCCAGCGGAGGAAAGATTTATTAGGAAATCATAGGATTAAAAAAAAAAAAAAAAAAGGAAAAAAAAACCCCAAACCCTTCCCGGGGAAAAAAAAAAAAAAAGTTTTCACTCTTCTGCCTTTTGCTGAATGCACGAGGGCAAGATTTTCCTTAATTTCCCTTTCTGTTTACCCTTCCTATTTCATTTTATAGGGGTTAAACAGAGGCTGGAGATGCCGAAACTTTGCCCCTCTCACCGATCTCTCGCCTCCCGGTTTGTTCGCACCGGTTTAAATTGTTCCTTTCCCCCCCCCCAGAAAGCATCTTATCGAGGGTTTTCTGATGGAACTTCGCAGAAACATCGAGTCAGAAAAACACCCGCTCGCCACAATTGGAGAAAAAACCCCCCACACTGGAATTATTGCCACGATTCCTTCCGACCTCGTTCGTGGCCGAAGGATTAGAACGTCTGAATAATTATATATATTTTTTTTTTCCCCCTCCTGCAATTTCGAAGAAAAAAAAAAGACCGAAATAAAAGTGAAGTAAATGGAGTTAAAAGTTGCCATTATTGCTGCTGCCTCAGTGATGTATTTATGTGCAGTCCCAACCGGGCTGGTTAAGAGCATTTTGGATTAATTTGCTGGTTTGTAGCGCTTTAAAAATATTTCTAAACCTATTTAGTCTTGAGCAAAGAGCAGTAGCGTCGAGCAAAATGTACCCAAAATGCCCCGTTTAACTTCGAAAAAGCGGCTGCTCTGCTTTTGTTGGGTGGGGGTTCTTTTTTTCGGCCGTTATGTGGGATTATATCTATAGGATTATGTCTAGGGGATTATATCTAGGGGATCATAATACATATAAAACACAGAGCCCAGAAAGCAGAGATCACTCTAACGGCAAAGGTGAAGAACCAGGGAGGGAAAAAAACCAAATCCTGATTCTGAGCGTCCTTTTTTCCCCAAAATCTTTGAGCCACCCTCTTTTTCGGCCGTGCCAACGCAAATCTTGGGGGGTTTTGGGATAATTAAGGCGCCCTCCCGCCTCCACAAAAGACAAAAAAACCCGATTTTTTTTTTAATCCCCCCTCTCTAAACGAACATTCCAAATTCCTCCTCCCAACCAGTATTTTTAATTTTTTTTAATTATTATTTTTTTTTAATTTAAGCCTGAGATAATCGAGCCGGGGCGGAGGAAAAGAGATGTCACGTCTAAAAAGGGGGGACAGGGCCGTAATTAACGGTGTATTTTATAGCGGGCGGGGGTGATGGGGGGG